CCAGTTTTGACTGGAATTTGCTATCCAGCTGCAGAACAGCTACGGTGTTCCTGGAAAGGTCTGGGTCTCCTGGGGGAGTCCTGGCTGCTCCATTCTCTTTGAAGAGAAGATGTGTCCCACCTGCCATGACCTGCCCCACATCTGTTTGCAGGTGGCCTGTGCCATGAAGGAGTGCCTGGGCCCTAAGAGCAGGTGACAAATCCTCCATTCTCCACGGAAGGCCCCTCTCTTCAGCCTGGGTAGCTTCTGGAGATGTCTGGGGCAGGCAGGAGCATCTCTTGGCAGAGGCCAGAGCCAGGGCAGGGCTGCCATGGAACACATGCTTTGCTGTCTTGGCAGCATCTCCCATGAAAACCACTTACCCCATGGCCAGAGGTGTTGGGGGGGAGCCCACCTGTGTCTCAGCTCCCTCTGGGAGCCCAAAGCCCAGCTCTGCTGGCTACAGGAGACGCTTTGCCGGCATCTGACAAGTCCTTCACCTCACTTGGTGCCCAGCAGTGGGGCGTCTGCACAGCCCGTGCCTGGCTTACAGGTTGATAATCACATCAGTAATGGGACAGACTTAATTAGATTGGGGATCTTGGAGAAAGACATAATCCCATTGCTGAGCTTGGTGTCAGCATGACTGGGCATCCTGGCCAGGAAGGTGTTATGGGAGGTGCTGAGCCAGCACCTCCAAGGTCTGGTGGGGCCGTGTGGGCAGCTCGGCAGAGGAGCAAGGGAAGCAGCTAAGTCCTGGGGCTGCCTTGGCCCTGCTGAGAGACAGGGAATCCCTGGGAGTGTGTCCCAAGGCCAGTGGCTGTCCTGTGCTGTGGGGCTGCCCAGAGGATGCAACAGCTGTGATGGCAGTGAGTGGCAAGGCAAGGACGGGAACGCTGGGAAGTATTTTTGGGTGACACGGCTTGAGGCTGGGAGCTGGAACAGCAGCTTGAACAGCGCTTTGGGGACCCTGTCCCAGATGTCCCAGGCCATCACCCTTCCTACCTCCGATCTTGGCTTGTCAGTGCTGGGAGTGTGGAGTCCTGATCCCTGCCAGCTGTTGGAGGTGGCTGGGCTGGGCTGTGGGAAGAGCTGGTGCTGATGGCAAGTGCTCATGTCCTGCAGGAGTCCAACGGCCCCACGGATGCCTACGCAGCCATAGCCAAGGCTGACCGGCTGACCCAGGAACCCGAGAGCATCCGCAAGTGGAGGGAGGAGCAGAAGAAGCGCCTGGAGGAGCTGGGTGAGGACCCAAGGCCCTGTGTGGGTGTGCTTGTGGCGCCTCATGATGTGGCAATTGGGGCCCTTGGGTCCCTCACCTGCTGCATCCCAGAGAGGTGTCTTGTGCCCCTGCCAAAGATCTGCTGTCCTTGGAGCAGTGGGGCCTTTTGGCCAGTACAGTGGGGACAGGTCTGGGTGGCTGCAGCTGCCCTGCCTGCTGAGGGGCTGCCCAGCACACCCAGTGGGTGCCAGCCTGGCTGATGGGCTCTGTCTCACTCTGGCCTTAGATGCAGCATCGAAGGTGACTGAGCAGGAATGGCGTGAGAAGGCCAAGAAGGACCTGGAGGAGTGGAACCTCCGTCAGAACGAGCAGATGGAGAAGAACCGGGCAAACAACAGGTATGTCGGGGTCAGCATGCCCATTAGACTATGATGGGAGCTGCTGTTCAGCCAGGTCTGCCTTCCTGGATAGTCTGGGGGCCTTTTTCCTCACAGTGGGGCCCAGCTCTACAGGGATGGAGCTTTGCCAAGTAAGGGGAGAGGCCCCAGGGCTTGGAGTGGCTCCAGTGGCTATGCAGAGCCACCCTGGCTGGGACCACACTGGGATCACCCTGGGATCTCAGTGCCTCCTGCCCATGCATGGGTCTTGCAGGGGGGCAGGGTTGGGCTCCAGGTTCTCCTGGTGCTGCGATGTGTGGGTCACACTCTTTGGGAGGACTAACCCCCTCTGTTCTCTCTTTCTAACCCTCTGCCTGCCTGTCGCTCCGCTCTCTCTCTCTCTGTGCCTGGGGTAGGATCGCTGACAAAGCCTTTTACCAGCAGCCGGACGCCGATGTCATTGGCTACGTGTATGTGCCTCTTACACACCGTATCCTGCCCCACAGGCTCTGGGGGTCCCTGCCCTAGCACTGGCTGACCAGCCAAGGGGAGGGGGGTGCTGGGAGGTCCTGGGCTCTGATGAGGTCCCAGAGGGAGGATGATGCAGCTGAGTGTCTCTGAATGGTAGTCTTAGGAGGCAAGTGGAGCTCCTGGAAATGCCCCTGTGGGAGCTGGTTGAAGAGGCAAAGCTGTGGGCTCTTAAGCCTTTTTGGGGCTGTTGGGGGATGGAGAAGTCTTGGGAGCACATGGATATCCCAGCACCCCTGGATTAATGATGTCTTGGGTGAGTGCAGCCAACAGCAGCCTTGAGCATCGCGTGTCTGTGGCTCCTAGAGGACACCGAGCTCATTGTCTGGAGCAGGGGATAGGAAGCAGGGACACAAAGGGAGAACCTCCTTGAAAAGGGTTCTGCCAGTGACAACCCTCAACGTCTCTGCAGGGCATCGGAGGAAGCATTCCTGAAGGAGTCCAAGGAGGAGACCCCGGGCTCTGAGTGGGAGAAGGTGGCCCAGCTGTGTGATTTCAACCCCAAGAGCAGCAAGCAGAGCAAGGATGTCTCGCGGATGCGCTCGGTGCTCATCTCCCTGAAACAGACGCCCCTGTCCCGCTAGCTGTGCCTGGCACGGCCGGGAGCACTGCGGGCACGGCCGGGATCACCGAGTCGGGTGGCTCCAGGGGCCAGCCCAGGACAGGCCTCCCACTGCCTGCTCCCTGGTCTGCACCTCAGCTGTGCTCGAGTCACTGGTTGTAACTCTCCCCATGGTTTTCCTTTGCTTAAAAGGTGCATCGGTCTCTTTTTACACTTATTTATAAATCACTGTGGCATTTCCCTGGGAAGCGGCACTGGGTGGCAGAGCTGAGTTAAGGAGGAAGCCCTGGCCCAGGGTCTGCAGGAGCCTGGCTGAGTGAGCAGGGAATATCTCACCCTGTGTTCCCACCTCACCCCTGTGCTGGGAATAAAACTGCCTGTGGCTGTCCTGGCAGCCCTGTGTTCAGGCCTCGGTCCTATCCCTGAGGCAGGGATCCCAGTGGGGTCCAGCCTGGTTGTGCACCCCAAAAAGCTGATGGGGTTCCAGCGTCAGTGTCCCATCTGTCCTGCAGTCCTGGCAGTACAGCGCTGCAGGGCACTGGAGAAGGGCCAGGGGTGAGTGTGCAGGAAGTTTTCTGTCCCTCTATCATGACCACCAGCAGTTGGGAACGTGGGATGCCAGGCTTTGAGAGCCCTTGGCTTTGCTCTGCTCCTTCCTCTGCTACTAGAAGGGGAGATGGAGGCTGTGTGGTTGCAGGGAAGGAGGTAGGAAGGTCCAGCTGCTGTGGGGCAGGTCAAGCTCTCCCAGCTTCCTAACCCAGGACAGAGGGTTGGGCAGAGTTCTGGTGCTGGGGCTTGTCCTGTCCCTGAGAACAACCTGTCCCTGAGAACAACCTGCACATCTGTCTGCAGCTGCTCTGCCCCCTGGCTTTGCCCACCTAAGGCATCATGGGGAGATGCCTCAGTCCCACTCCCTGACTGAACACTGGCTTTCTCTCCTCTGCTTGGCAGGGCTGGCACCAGCCCTGGGAACCTGCACAACTCCTGAGTAGCAGGAGAAGGACAGCCTTGAGCTTGTGCCCTGCATCTGGGAGCTTGGAAAGGGCTTGCAGCAGCTGGGGGGACATGGAGCAGAGGCCACAAAACACTTGAGCCTCACTGCAGGGCCCTGCTCAGCTGGAAATCAAGTGTGCAGAGCTGTCCTGCCCTGAAGTTGTGGCTCCAGAGACAGGAATGTCACCTGTGCTGCTGCTGCAGCCATCAGGGGGATAGTCAGGCACCTGTGGCTCTGGGGCACAGGCTTAGCAGTGGGATGGGAAGGGAAATGGTTGCATAGGGAGTCACTTGGTGTTGTGTGTTGGGATTGTGCCCTTCTGCCCATAGAGCTGATCACTCCTGCCTGGTCCCCCTGCCCTCCAGCATGCGTAGGCACCTCTGCCGTGCTGCAGGACACCTTGGGACTTGGCTGCCTGCCTTTGCCTTTCCCTGCAGAGCAGTGGGAAGCACCTCTGGCTGCTTCTGGGGGGACAGTGTGCCCCCCATCCCATGCTCTGTTCCTCCAGGCCCCGCAGGCAGCCAGGCCCCTGGGTCCCCCAGCTGCTGTGTGCTCCATGTGAGGCCGGGGCAGCTCCCGGGGAGCCGTGCCCACAGCTGTTCTACATCCCCTCGGCTTTGGTTTCTGTGACTGTCCAAATTATCTGTTACAATAAACCGACATCTCCAATCCTATGGGGCACTGTCATCTGTGTGTTAGGGACACGCATGCTGCATTCAGGAGAGCCCACAGCCATGAGGCCTCCTGCGGGAAGGATGGGGCTGGAAGAGCAACATATCCTACAGGAAAAAACAGGAGTGAGGGGAGGGGAATGCTGAAGCAGCAGCACATCCCAGAGAACTCAGCCAGGCCCTGTTTTGGAATCATGAGTTCCCAACTTGTTTTCACAGGGAGTTTCATCTCTCATGCCCTGTTTGCATCACCACAGCTCCAAGGCAGCTTCCCTACACTGCTTACTGCTGTGGTTTCTCAATGCTCTACAGTCCAGTATCAGTCACAATCTTCCTGCAATTCACCTCATTCCTCACCCGTTGCAATTGAACAGGTCACACGTCCTCCCCAGACTGCTCCCCTGCTGCTTATGGACTCTGTCCTGCCAAGACAGAGCCATAAACAGCTGTTCTTTCCTAGCTGGGCAGCTCATTTCTCAAATGCTGGTGCACTGCCTGACTAAAGCCACACCTCAGTGCGGACCACGACCCAGAGGATGTGATTTTAACAGGCTGTGACAGCACCGAGCAGCGACAAGAGTTCTCACAGGGGTAATAAGCCTTAGTGACAAAACGTTGGTGTTGCAGGATAAGCCCTCAAGGAATCAAAAAAAAGCCACGGCCCACATTTCAGGATAATCACAGAGTGTATTCACCCCATTTCCAGTGCTCTGGACTACAGAGCCTCTCCAGCAGTGGCTCCACCAAGACATCACAACAGTCCCTCAGAAAACTCCATCCACAGCCAAGATCCATCCCGGGGTGGTGGGTGCTGGCCTCTCCTGCCCGAGGTCACTGTCTGGATTTCAGGGCCGTGACCGCCATGCCCCCCAGCAGGGCCGCGAAGGTGAAGCCCTGGGCCAGGATACGCGCCCGCATCATCAGCTGTGACCGGCGGGTGTTGCCCCTCTTGAAGCAGATTAGGCCGTAGGTCAGGACGCCGACGGTGCACAGGCAGCCTGGGGAAAGGACGAGGCTGTGAGCGAGGAGCAGCTCCCCCCGCGCTTCCACAGCATCCCCATACCCGGGCCGGCTCCACAGCACCCTCACACCCGGGCCGGCTCCACAGCACCCCCACACCCGGGCCGGCTCCACAGCACTCCCACACCCGGGCCGTGCTCGCCCGGGGGGCGGCCGGGCCGGGGCTCATGAGGGACCGGCTTCTCACCGCCCCGGCCCTCGCCCCTCACTCAGCACCGTCACCCCCCGTCCCGCCCTCACCGAGGGGCACGAGGGGGTTCTCGCGGGTCTTGCGCAGGAACTTGTCCCCGAATCCCTCCTCCCTGAACGCGGGCAGCACGGGGCGGTCCAGCGGCGGTGGCGGCCCGGCCGCCATGGCCAAGGTGACAGCCGCGGCCCCTCCCGGCTGCCGTACCCCCGCCCCGGCGCAGTGCATGCCGGGGGTTGTAGTCCGCTGTAGCACACACCCCGCGTGCCTCTGCGGTCGTGGGACTACATTTCCCGTGACACCCCGCGGCGCGGCCGGCAGCCCAGGTGGCCCTGCCACACGGGCACTCACGGGGGCCGCCATGCCGAAGGCGAAGGGGAAGAGCCGGCGGCACAAATACTCCTACAACCTCAACCGCAAGCGCCTCTACCGCAGCGCCCGCCGCCGCGCCGCGCCTCGCATCGCCTGGTGAGGGCCGGGGGCACGGGCACGGGCCGAGGGCGGGGGGAATCGGGCGCCTCGTGGGGAACCTTCAGCGCATGTTGGTGGGGAGGGGGAGCACAGCCGTGATGTCCCTTGTCCCCGCGCAGCTCGCACATCCGCCATGCCTGGGACCCGAGCAAGTCGGTGGCGCAGAACCTGGCCGAGATGGGCCTGTCCGAGGACCCCAACAAGGCCCTCCCCATACCGAAGAAGCTGGTAAGTGTGGCCGGGGGAGCTCGGCGGAGGCTGCACCTTTGTGGGGGCTGTGGGGGGTTGGGGAAAGCAGCGTGGAGAGCAGCCAACCTCAGAGCATGGGGCAAGTGGCTCTGAATCCGTCTCCAGCAGGTGGACGCTGTTTCTTATGTTGGTCTACTTAGTTTTCTCACCAAAATCCTGGCGTGGGAACGAGCTATAGCACCACAGAGACATAATGGACTTTAGAACAAGTATAGACTTTAGAACAAATATAAATAACGTCATGTCCTGGGACTTGACAGAGACAGGTGGGGTTGAGAACGGTGCAGCCAAGTTGCTCCTGATAACAAAAAAGGGCTCTTTGTGCACAGCAGTGCCAGCATGGCCCATCAGCACCTGTGAGCAGCCGGGTGGAAGGTGGCCCCACAAAGGTTCTGCTCAAGGGAAAAAATCAGAGCGATCTTGTTTGCCACTTATCTCCTTTCAGACAGCGTTGCTGAGAAGACAGGCTGGCCTACAAGCCTCTTTAATGTCACAAATAAGGCTCTGCTTAAGCCAGCTGAGATTTCCTGGCCGTTGCAGTCATGTAGCAGCAGTCAGGAATTTTGGGAGCAATGTGTGCGGACACAGCCCTCTTCCAAATAGACTTTTCTTGAGTGTTCTTTTCTCTCATCTAACACAGGGGGTGGAAGCGGAAAGCAGTGGACAACAGTCAGGAAAGAAAATAGTGCGGAAGCCGTACGTGGTGAACGGTCAGTGCTGCATGTGGGGTTCTCCCAAGGCCCTGGGGAGTATTTTGTCTCTCTGTGCTGTGCCAGGGGCAGGGAAGGGTGTTACTTCTTGTCCGGGCTCATGGGCTTGTGGAGGCCCTGGGCAGCAGTTGGCTGGGGGTTCCCAACCAGGCCAGAGCAGGACAGCAGCTCTGCCATTCCCCTGGATCTGTCTCGTGAATTTCCTTTTCCTTTTCAAGGAGTAATGTCCATAAACTAAAACACAACAAGCTCCACTTCAACAGGAGGAAAAAACTTCTCACCGTTCAGTGTGACAGAGCAGTGGAACAGCTGCCCAGGGAGGGTGTGGAGTCTCCCTCTCTAGAGACATTCCAAACCCACCTGAACACATTCCTGTGTCACCTGCTCCAGGTGACCCTGTCACAGCAGAGGGGTTGGAATGAGTGATCTCCAGAGGTCCCTTCCAACCCTAATGATTTTGTGATTCTCTCCTGGGCTGCCTTTCCGCAAGAGGGCTCTTGTCACTGTGAAACATGCTGGTGTGTGGCCCCAGGGTGACAAGAAGCCATAGTTCAGTATCAGGCATGTTTTAGTGGTGGGCTGGGCAGCTCTGAGCAGTCACACTCTGCAGCCTGGGCAGAAAGGGCCCTCTCCTCATGGTGTGAGCTGGAGAGGAGCTGGAGCACAGGCCTGGATGCCTGCAGCCCATGCAGAGGGCTCTTGTGTTGTCTGTTTTCCTGCACCATCATGGCTGGGAAGTGTCCCTGCATGCGTGAGCAGCCAAACTGTGCAGCAGGAGTCTGCAGCATGGGCAGGCTTGACCCTGGGGAGAGGCAGGGAACCTCTGAGGAGGTGTTGCTTCCTTCCCCTGTTCATGCTGCCTCTGTCCTCTGCCTAGAGATGGAATATGAGGCCAGCCTCCCTGAGAAGAAGTCGAACACGCTGTCACGGGACCTCATTGACTACGTGCAGTACATGATACAGAACCACGGGGAAAACTACAAGGTATGGATGGCCTGGCTGTCCCAGGGCAAGGAGAACCCAGAGAGTCCTTGCTCCTGGACCTTCTGCAGGATGGGAATTGCTAATCCTCTCTGTCCTAGATCCTGTTTTGCAGTCAGCTGATTGTTAAGGGAAAACAATGCTTTGAACCATGGCCAGGTCCCTGTCTGAGTCAGGGAGTGATTGCGCCGGCGTGGGAGGGATGGGTTGGCGTTTGCTCTTGGGGCTGCTCCTCTGACTTACCCTCTTCTTTGTCACAGGAAATGGCTCGAGATGAGAAGAACTACTACCAGGATACTCCCAAGCAGATTAAGAGAAAGATCAATGTGTACAAGAATTTCTATCCCGAGGAGTACAAGGAATTCATTGCATCACTCAAGCCGGAAAAGATGGATGTGCAGTGACTGCCCTTTTTCCTCAGGTTTACCTGCAAGTGCAGGCTTGACATGACCATTTTCTGAACTGAACAAAGCCTCTGGAGATGGAGAAAGGACCTTCATTAGACAGAGATGGTTTTAACCAGCCATGAAAGACTCTTTGGCATTGGCACTGACTATGCTGTGCTGCTCACTTTCTGTGTGGCAGCTGGCACTTCTTTTGCTTTGTTGAAATAAAATATTCTTTCAAGCTGGTGTGAATGTCTTGCTTTGGGCTCTTGCTTGGTGCAGCCCTGCTTTAGAGAGCTCCTGGTGCTGACCCGTGTGACGTTGGTATTGGACGTGTGTCACCCTCCGTGGTGACAGGGCTGGGGCCCACGGGGTGTGGGCAGCACTCAGACCTTGGCTGATTGCCCTGTAGGCAGCAGAGTGGGGCCATGTGCTGCTTCCTTCCCCTGCTGGTGACCTTCCTGCCTGCAGTGTGGGAGACCAGGCTGGGGTCCCTTCCCTGCTGAGGAGCTGGAGGGCAGTGGAGAGCTTTTATTGACAAAAGGAAGGAGCAGCTGTATGAAGGGTTTCGCAGCAGGGACAGGCTGGTGTGTACTCCTGCTCCTTGATGGGCTCCAAAGCTTCCGCAATTGGTTTTCCAGGACCCAGCACCCTGTGGGCTGATCCAGCAGAGTCCTGCTGGCAGGCAGGGCTTCCTGCTATCCCTGAGTGTGGCTCCATCCCCTTCTCCCTTGGGCAGTGGAGCATCAGGCAGAGCAGGCAAATACCTGTGGAGTGCAGCTCCCACAGAACAGCCCGTCTTCACCCCTGTGCTGGGCTGCTTGATACCTGCCTTCATCTCTCCTAAACAGGGTTTTAAATACAGGGTTGGGAAAGTTGAGAGCTGTGCTCAGCCCTTGGAATGGACAGGCTGAGCTGGTTATTCCCACTGTGTGCTGTACTGGCAGGGTTGTACCAGCAGTAACTAATTTCCCAGGAAGGAGAGCCCACCTCCTGAGTGGGTACTGTTGGTGCCAGTGAGCACAAGGACTGCCCTGCTTGTTCATTTAATATCCTACAGGGCTGCTGTGAAGGTGTGGGGCCCTGGGGAGCTCACCAGAAGGTAAGAGCCATGCTTATACCTCTATCCTAAGGGAGATTCCATCCGTGAACTGTGGGAGATGGCTGCCCTCTCCTAATGCCTGGCAGCAGAGCCTGCTGCTCATGCTCTCCAAGGGCAGCTCCCCACAGTTCACCCTCAGACTTCGTGGGGTGCAGTGAACACCCCAGGGCCAGCAGCAAGTCTGAGCTACAGGAGCTCCCTGGTCACTCCATCCTCTCGTTGCAGACCCCAAAGAAGAGCTGTGCTGGGGGTGGGAGCCTGTCTGCCCCCACTGTGTGGGCTCAGGGCTGGGGGAGCAGGGTTGCCAGCAGGCTCTTCACGCAGAGGACGCTGGTGGCAGGGCTCGGGTGGCAGGGCTCGGGTGACGGTGCCCAGGTCGCGCTGGTGGGCAGGAGGAAGAGCTGACTCTGCTCGCTGGCAGCTCTGCCGTGCTCAGGGCTTCGCTCTTATCCTGCGAGGGAGAGACGCGGCTGCTCGGGATGGGAGCAGCGCTGCCAGCTGGCAGTAGCCGTGTCCCGCCTGTGTGATCCCGGCAGGAATTGTGCCCGAGTCCCTTTGGCACAAGCCCGCGGGGCCCGTCCTCGCCCCCTCCGCCAGAACTACATCTCCCAGCGCACCCCGCGCGCCGCAGCCAGATCTCGCGAGATCTGTACGCCTATAAGAGTGCCTCCGTAGCTCCCCATCCTCTGCGCCGGTCGCGGCTGCCGCAGGCTCCGCCATGGCTGGCCCGGTCTCGGCCCTGCCGCGCTCCGCCGCTCCTCGCTGACCGCGCCGCCCGCGCCATGAGCTCTGCGCAGCCCGACGCTCCCGGTAAGGCCCCCCCGCGCTCCCCGCCAGCCCCAGTGGGCCGCGCTGGCGGTCGCTGAGCGCTGCGCTCTCTCCGCAGCGCTGGAGCCGGGCGGCGGGGCCCGCCGGGACAGAATGTCGCTGCCCCTCGGCGTCCCGCGCCGCGCCTTCAGCTACGACGATGCCCTGGAGGACACGGCGCCCATTACGCCCCCCCCCGCCGACCTGTGCGCCGGCGTCCTGTGGAAACAGCCGGTCATCCCCGAGCGCAAGTACCAGGAGCTGTCGAAGGTACGGGCTGGGCCTTGCCCTGGCTCGAGCGTGGCCCCTGGGTGTCCCCGCAGCCCTGCACTCCTCTGGGTATCCCCCTCTTGTCATCCTCTCCTGCCCCCCGCAGCAGGACCCTCGGGAGGGGCTGGGGGCAGAGCCCGGCATTCCTGCCCGGCATTCCCTGCTTTGGGAAGGGACAAGCGCGTGCTGAGCGTCTCCTCGGTGTTTGTGAATAAAACCGCTTTAACCGGTTGTAATCA